TCCCTCTCTCTGTCTCTCCCTCCCTCCCTCCCTCCCTCTCTCTCTCAGCACTAACAACTTCACTAACCTATGTGAACATCCAGTTTACTGGCACAGTAGCGGCACATTGTGGCCTTGTCGTTCAGCTCTCCTTGAAGATGAGTTACCTGCTCCTGAAGTTCTCTTTCCTGGAGAATAAAATGTCACATGTTAGCATCTGTAGTATTGTTGTGAGCATGAACGTATGTGGGTCTGGGCATTTGTGTGTGCGTGCGAGTGTGTGTGAGTTTCAGTAGTTTTAGTAGACTTTTTACGGCGCTCGCAACTGCATAAGGTCATATGAGCGCCAAGGGGTGGATGTCAACAGAGAAGTCCATACAGAAAATCAGGCTTACTCTGCTCACCTCTCCAACTTCAACAGCACAAAGTCTGCTTCAACTATCAAGGCAACCCGAAAATAGCGGGTCACAAGAGTGTGACAAACATACAAAAGAAGTAGAGGAAAAATGACGATAGAAAGGGTTAGAAAAGAAAAGGCAGGAGTTCCCCGTTGCAGTTCAGGCACAGTTATGAGCATGACATTGATGAGTCAGCCCATTTACTATTCTACTGTGCATAAGAACATGTTAATGTCCCCCCTTTGGGAATGGCCTAAAGACACTTCAGTCAGTAGCACCGCCCCAGGGGTGTGTGTGATCGCGTGAGCGTGTGTGTGTGTGTGTGTGTGTGTGTGTGTGTGTGTGTGTGTGTGTTGTTGTTGTTGCTGTTGCTGTTATTGTTAAGAAATAATGCGAGGAATGGGTTGATGCAGCAATGTCCAAGGACCAACATACCCGTGTCACCAGCTGCAGCTCTTGACTAAAACTTCATTAAAAGAATCCCAACCAGTGGAAATAAACATACAAAAAGTCTTAACACAGATAAAGTCCAACTGCGCTGAGCGCCAAGGGGTGGATGTCAAAAGAGAAGTCCAAGCAGGGAAATCAGACTTACTCTGGTCACCTCTCTAACCTCAAAAGCACAAAGTCTGCTTCAACTATCAAGGCACCTCGGTAATAGCAGTTTACAAGAGAGTGACAAACATACAAAAGAAGTTGAGGAAAATGAAGATAGTAAGGATGAGAAAAGAGAAATCAGCAGTTCCCCCTATGTTGTTCCGGCACAGTATGAGCATGACATTGATAAATCAGCCCATTTACAATTCTACTGTGCATTAGAACATGTTAATATTAATATGCCCCCTTTGGGAATGGCCTAAAAACATTCAGTCAGTAGCACTGCCCTGAGGGGGTAGAAAAAGTCTTAACACAAAGGAAGTCTAAGAGCACTGAGAGAGAGAGCGTTTACACATAACAATTCATATAAATCAAAGTATGACTGATTGCGTTTGTGTTTTACAGCACTATTGACATCTAAACAAGTGGTAATGGGGAAGATCAGGGTAATGTAGCTTTTTTAAGAGCATCAAAGCAAAGGAATGAATGGAGAACCATGATCACCGACGTCTGCCACAGTTCTGGCACTGGATGATGATGATGATGATGATGATGATGATGATGATGATGATGATGATGATGATTGACACAGTTAAAGCAATATAAGGCGTGCTGACAAAGTAATTTACTTCTCAGATTTTTTAATTCCAAACGTAGATTCACCAAACTTATAGGTTGAGTTTTTACAATTTACTAGTATGAAATTATAAAAGACATATCAAAATTGAAAACAATGGCATCAGTTTAAAAGCAACAAATTTGACTCCGATACCCCATACATGGATTGCAAGAAGTAACTCATTTAGTCAGCATGCCTCACAAACCGCTCATCAAAAGGAAACAAACTATTATTATGAATTTCTCTTTAACTGAAACCATTACAGAAATATCTCACCACTTTGGTCATCTTTTTCTGCTTGGGCTTGGCTCTACCAAGGAGAGTTTGAGACTTGGTTGGGCTGCCAGTTACAGAGGGATCCTCTGGAATGATCAGTTTTAGTTTTAGTAACTTTTTACGGCGCTCACAAGTGCATAAGGTCATATAAGGGCCAAGGGGTGAATGTCAACAGAGAAGTCCAAACGGGGAATCAGGCGTACTCTGCTCACCTCTCAAGCCTCAACAGCACAAAGTCTGCTTCAACTATCAAGGCACCCCGGAAATAGCAGTTCACAAGAGAGTGACAAACACACAAAAGAAGTAGAGGAATAATGGCGATAATCAAGATGGGTAAAGAAAGGGCAGCAGTTCCCCCATATTTTGTTCGGGCACAGTATGAGCATGACATTGTTAAATCAGCCCATTTACAATTCTACTGTGCAAAAGAACATGCTAATATCTCCCCTTTGGGAAAGGCCTAAAGACAATTCAGTCAGTAAGCACTGCCCTGGAATAGGACAGGAGAACAGACTGAAACAAAGTGGAGTCAAGGGACTGACAATTAATACTGGAACATGCATAGACGTGTATATGTATAAGGGAAAACCTGAAATACGAAATGCAAACTAAACCAACAGATTAATACATCTCTCTGTCTCTGTCTCTCTCTCTGTCCTCTCTGTGTCTCTCTCTGTCCTCTGTGTGTGTGTGTGTGTGTCTCTCTCTCTCTCTCTCTCTCTCTCTCTCTCTCTCTCTCTCTCTCTCTCTCTCTCTCTCTCTCTCTCTCTCTCTCTCTCTCTCCCTCTCTCCCTCTCTCCCTCTCTCCCTCCCTCCCCCTCTCTTACACAAACATAAAAACACACACACATACACATACTCTAAGAGAGTGAAAGAGAAAGCAAGAGAGGGAAAACGTGAGAGAGGGGGTGATGGAGAGAGAGAGAGAAGAAAGAAAGAAAGATTAGTTTTAGTTTAGTTTTATTAACAGTTTTACGGCGCTCGCAACTGCATAAGGTCATATGAGCGCCAGCAGATTAGAGGTGTTACAAGAGAGTAACAAACATCAAAAAGAAGGAGGGGAGATAAGGACGATAGATGTTTGATAGTAAAAAAAGGAGCAAACCACACCAGAGCACCCGCCAACCACCCACTTATAGAAAGAAAGAAAGAAAGAAAGAAAGAAAGAAAGAAAGAAAGGGAGAAAGAGAGAGATAGGGAGAAAGAGAGAGAGAGAGAGAGGAGGAGTTTGTAAGAAAGACAGAGAGTGTGTGTGTGTGAGAAAGAGAAAGAGAGTGTGTGTAAGAGAGATAAAGAAAGAAAGACAGACAGACAGATAGACACAGAGAGAAAGAGAGAGAGAGAGAGAGAGAGAGAGAGAGAGAGAGAGAGAGAGAAAGAGAGACTGACAGACATACAGACTGACAGACAGACAGACAGACAGACAGACAGACAGACAGACAGACAGACAGACAGACAAACAAACAGACAGACAGACAGACAGAGAGAAAACGAAAGAGACAGAGAGTCTTTCTCCGTACCGGGTGTGAGTGGGAACACGTTGGAGTGATGTATCCCTGGACTGGACTGAGCAGAGCGCAAATTGGAAGTCTCCAGCTTGGCCATGCTTGAGGCAGAAGGGGCGTGCCTAAACATCGACTCCTCCACCTGCGACAGACTCACTGTCGAGCCAATCGGGTCTGTTGAATGATCTGCCAGGCGACAAGTAGACACATATTTTAAAATTTTTGGGTTTTTTAGGTTAAGTAAGTGTTTTACGGCACTTGCAACACAATAAGGTTATATAAAAGCCGAAGATTAGAGGTGTTACAAGAGAGTAACAAAACAAAAAACAAGGAGGACAGATCAGGATGATAGATGTTTGGTAGGAAAGAAGGAGGAAACCACACAAGAACACTCGCCAACCACCCACAGAGACATATTTAAAAATCTTAAAGCACGATATGTGTATACCTGATGTGTAGTAGTTAGAGAGAAAGCAATAATGAAATAATTCATGACAATTATAGATTTGCGCACCTTGGATTGCATTCTGGGTATCCCTAAAATTACTTTATAAAGTCTTTAGGTTCATGTATGACATACGCATGTTTGGTCCTTAACACACACAATATTTTCTGCCTCGGTCAAATTCTCATTACCTGATAGTTTCATTTAAAGTCATAGAGCTATCAGCAGTACAAATGATATCACAACATTTCCAATGATAAAAATGCTTTATAAGCTTACAGCTTCCCTCCTTGAATACAGAAGAAACAAAAGTGGCGGAAACTGAAAGCTGTTACAATTGTTTGGGGTTTTTTTCTTTGAATTTGAACGATTTTGGTTGTTACAGAATTGCTACTATGCTAATTAGTCATAGTCATGTGTCACCATACGATGACTTAAAACGATCAAGACCTAGTATCATGTAGAGCCATACTGACAAAATAATGATAATGTATGATGTAAAAGGAAAAACAACCCACCAAGTAACTCCCATAAAATCAAAGGGGGGGGGGGGGATAAACTAAAAGATACAGGCACTACAACAGGATTCCAGCTTTCAGTAATTACTCAAGAATTTGTCAAATAAAACAGAAAAGGTTGACAGAACAATTTCGAACAACAATAAGAGAATTATAATTTTTACACCTTGAGCTTTGAGTCAGTTCACCACAAAGACAAACATGCTGTTGACAACAACACTGAACATGCAGGAGGTTAAGGTGCAGAAACATCAGGATCATATTGTGCGCACAACGAAGGCTTGAAACAAGGAGGTCGCTCCCACAGGCATAACAATAGCAGTAGTTTCAAATACAGCTCCATCAACGGCGGCAAGATATTCTCAAACTCACAACTCTAGATAAGGGCATTAAAAATGTTCCCTCAGTAGTAGTGATAAAGGAAATGCTGATGATAATGACAATGATGATGATGATGATGATGACGATGATAATGAAAACGATAATGACATGACAATAATGATGTTTTAGTTTTTAGTTTTAGTAGAAGTTTTACGGCGCTTGCAACTGCATAAGGTCATAAGGTCAATAATGATGATAATGACAACAATGATGATAAGGTCAAAGATGCTGGAAATGACAATGGTGATGATAATGACAATGATGATGATGATGATAATGACAATGATGATATGACAACGCGACCAGTGATGAAAATAAAATATCCCGTTAGCAGTAAACAATAAAAACAAAGCCATAAATAAGCAAGTCACAGACATGGAACACAAGAGAAGGGTTCCTTATAACTCCATCAGTCCCAGTAAAAACTTTGATTAGTTTAAGAAAATAGGTTTGCACAATAACCATTCCCCCCCCACACCAATTTTCCATAACGATGTGTCCACATGATAATATAGATTGCAAAGTTCATAGAGCTGGCTGTAAGACCTGGGACATCAGCAATACAAATTCTT